TGCCCTGAAGCAACCTCTGTCCGCGATGAGCACAGACTCACCGCAGGCAGGGGCTGTCCTGTATCCTGCAGAGCAGCCCCTGTCCATGGCAGCCCGGGCTGGCCATGAACACAGGATGCTACATCAGCAGCCCTGTCCGCTGGGGGTCCTAGTTCCCCACTGAGACCCCTGGGGATAGAGGCTGCTGGATGAAGGCTTGCTCAGTTCCGGCTCACACCAGGTCTGGGAGCTACCTCTGTTGCAGCTCTGCAGTTCAAATGTAGTAGGAGCCGGGCTCCCTGCCCACCTGGCTCTTACTACATTTAAACTGCAGAGCTGCAGCAGGAAGTAGCTTCTGGACTTGGCACGAGTCGGGACTCAGGTTTTCTCCCTTATCGACTAATCGTATAATTGATAGAAGTTCTTTTGAGTACACAATTAGTTAATTACTCACTTCCTAACATCCCTAATTTAGGTGCCTTAAATTTAACTATCAAAGTTTGAAAATTAAAGAAACAACTAGAAAAAAAACCCCAAAGAAACAAAGAAACAAAAAGAATAAACCGTCCCACCAGCTTTAATAAAACCTTTTATTTTTAAACTATAGATTTTATTTAGGAAGTGCTATCAAGTTTACAAATCCTTTCCATATAAATATTAGAAACAAAAAATCTTACAAGTTAGCTCTTGTCTATATTCCCATATAATGTCTCTTTAAACATCAGATCTTCCTATTTAACTAAATATTGCCCTCATTCAAACAGTCATCATTTCTAGGGATTTTATTAAATTGAGTGAAATTTATCATCTATTACGTGTATGCAGAGACATGTCTATCAAATGTCAAGTTAAAAAAAAAAGAGGCGTGTGATTTGTTTCCCAGGTGAATGTGCTTTGAGTATTGAATAAAAAGTAACTAAATATCTATCTCTTTTCTGTCTGTTTTTCTGGGTATATGACCAGTGTGTAGGGTTTTTTTCATGATTTCCACTTCCTGTTGTTCTGAGCTGATCCTCTGTTGGACTGTTTTTTTTTTTTTTTTTAATTTTCTAACAAGAGGCTATCAATACCTAACCATCCACCAACAGATGAGAGAATAGTTCTTCATTTCTTCCCACTAGAAAGCCCAAGGAAGATTACCAACAGATTATTTGGTAATAAATAAATGTTCAATGTGTGATAATTGTATAGGTGCTCAAAGCAGTGGCTATGCCAAACAGATGACAAAGGCTCCATATGGTCCCCCACTTTCCCCCCTTTGGTTGTCTGATTTCCCTCCAAATCAACAGTTTTGTAGTCATTGATGCCTAAATAGTTTTGATCAAATGTAATATTATGGCATGACACACACACAGAGATGCCATCAATTTAATGTAAAGTTTTCATAAGCAATTAATGTAAACTACCTTTATTGAAAATTGATCTTCAACAATAAACAAGTTTATTTTTCTTCATATAAAGGTGCAGTTTGTAAAGTCATCACTATCCTTTTTGTTGTTGCTGCATTATGCTTGTATAAGCCTCCACCGAGCATTTCTGTGACTTTGCGAAAGGATGCTGAAATAGTTTCTGCTGTGCCTATGTAAAACTTACGAAAAAAACAGGAACTTTAAAATAAATCAAGAAGAATATATACAGCTGCCGGAGAAAAGCTGCGAGAGAGTTTTATGTACAGCATTATTTCAACACAATTTAGTTCTTGAGCAAATTAAAGTGATTTTTAAATATAGGTGGATGTTTCTGTAACATTAATTGAAGCTCAGGAAATTTTATATTTCAACAATGTACCTTTAAATATCACAGGAAAGAAATTAGGCTATTAACCCTTTTGTTTTTAACTCTCCATATATTCAATAAAAATACAGTAAATATAGGAAGGGTCTTATTATTTGGTAAGTTAAGCAAATTGCATAATTATCAGTCAAACATAAAAAAGATGATACTGAACTGGAATACCCCACTACTAAAAGACAGATTTTAGGACAATTGGATTAATTAAATGGAGTTGTCAATGTCTACTTCAAACTGGCAGGAATAATCTGTGCCAATGTTTGGGCTGCTAAACAACATTTAAGGTTAGACTGATGTAAATGTATAAATGCAATAGTTTCTTGAGTAAGAACAAATAGAAAAAAAACAAGCACTTAAATTTTCTCAATATACTTTGTGCAAGTTAGGTTAAATGTTTAAATTGTGATCATTTTTTGTAATCTTAAATATATCTGTAGGAAAAAATAGTTCTCATTATAGGAAAACTGTTAATTACATGTTTATTAAACTGGGTGCTTTCATTCAACTGGGTGCCTTAGTATTTGAATTTAGACAATATCCAAAAGGATAATGTCAAAATATTGTTACATTTTGTAGAGAATATTCATTTCTCATAATATATACTTCAGAAATTTTGAAAATGAAATTTGTTTTCTTTAGATGTTTTACTCATTTGATATGTGTGATCTCATTATTTTGAGGTTACTCCTACCTAAGCTCTTCTGCACTAATTATTTTCTAAAAAAGGATTTACTTGTTTTTACTGATTACAAATGCACAAAGACTACTCAAATACAGTGATAGAAAAATTACATTGAATTGGGGCTTATAAATCTTGAAAATAATAGAGTGTGGATCTGTAGAAAACTTAAAATAAGATATACATATCTTGGTGAACACAGCAGTTTTTTTAGTATTAAACATTTATTAAATGCAAATCTATATTTAAATATTGTTTACTATGAAATAAATCTATTTTAAAACTGGTATCTAGTGCTGTTTTGTTTATAATTCATATGAGATGTTGTTTGCTGCGTGTACACTAGCTTCAAAGCTGCTGAAGTACCAATAATGAATTACATTTTCTCTGCCTACCTAAACTCATGTGCATCTGTGTGTGCTGTGTGCTAAGTACTATACTGGCTATACTGATGGCTGGCTATACTGACTTTCGATTCCGTGGAGGAACCTTTTGTGTCAACATCCGCGTGACCATTTGCTGGATCCCCGGAAAAGAGATCTACCCACCCTTTCTTATAGCCTTTTTAAATCGGTAACCAAGTGGGTTTGTTTGGCAGATGGATCCTATTAACCTGCCACTGAATATTCATATGACCCGAGAGCTCAGACTAGCCAGGCATCCACAACTAAGGACAGTAGCTCAAATAACTGGAAAGCGTAATTCTCAGTTCTTTCTAATTGCAGCTCGTAGAGACAAAAACAGAGTCTGGAACCTGCAATAGAGGGTTTCATGCTTTTTTGTTGTTGTTGGCCTATTTTGTTAACATAAATGAAGAAGATACCTTCCAGCCTCTTTGTGTTCATTGCCTTGTTGGGGGCACGAAGGAGTGTTTTTGGTCTAATATTGGCCACAGGATAATGTTTACATAGCTTTCTGATTTGCATAATTATCAGTGTGATCCCATGTGGTCCCATATTGTGTGAAGGAACGAAACTAATTCTGAACAGAAAAGGTTGATGAAGTGATGTGCTTGTAGTTGAGACACTGGTCTGTGACTGAGGTCACATTGGCCTGTCAGTATAATAGGTGTGATGCTACTTCTCAGCCTCCTTTTTGTCTTATTATATAGACTGAGTTCTGTAGGAACACAAACTGATTCTTACTATGGGTGTGTGTACTGCTTAGCCCAACTGGGGACATGACAATACAAAGAAATAACCATAACTAAACCAGAAGCAGTGCATGAGCACTATAGAAGAGGAATGAGTGTCAGCCTTCCAGTTCTGCTTTAGTGCCAGAATTAGCATGGTGACCTATACTCCTTAAGAACTCTGCGGTTTAGCAGTCCTTTTCCCCTTCAATGTTGTTTTTTATTCTGGCCAGGCCTCTCTTCACTGGCCTACTTACATGGTTACAGCTCCACATTTCTAGAGGTGACCTGCAAAGTTAGCACTCCAAATGCAGATCTTTCCTGCTAAACCCTTGTTTTCTGCTTGATTTTGAGAGGGAGGGGGAAGAATGCTCCATTGAGTTGCTTCATACTTTCTTGCTGTAACTCTCATCTGCCTTTTTCCCATATTCTCCACTATAGTTTAATTTGTTGTGTTTAAATGTAGGTTGTAAGGTTTCTGGAATACTCTGTCTTGCTATCTGTGCAATAAGCCAGTTGGATGTTTTAAAATTGCGATTTCATTGTCTTTTTATGACAAGTAATTTGATTATACAAATTGTAGATAAGTTGATGAAATTGAGAAGTACAGCCAGAACCCCAAAATTCTACCATGTCATATGGTGTCTGAGGATAGTTGTGTGGCTTCTAAAAACTGCTTGATGTATAGTGTTTTTTTGTTAAACAGCTTTGATCACTGAGTAAGGCAAAATCTGCTAATTTTTTGGTTTCTGGAATTTTCAAAGGCCTGGAGTTTTTGATAGATGAGTGTTTGACATAAAAAAAACTTGCTTTAAAAGATCTGGGGTTATAATTTTTCAAAACTGACATTTTAAAATTCTGCATAGATTGTTGGAAATAATTCTTGGGGTACATAATAATTTCCAGTGAAGTAAGGATTGTCTTGGACAAAGATTTTTTTTCCCTCCTTTTGCTAAAGCAGAAAATAAATTCATACATAACATTTTATAATTCAAAACTCTTAGCTCAAGAAAACCCTCATTAAAATGAGTGGAGATTTTACCTAGTATGGCATCTTGTCACTTAAAAATTCCCTTTCAGTCTTGGGCAAAACAATTTAGATTGAGTTACAATAGATGAAAATTAATCTTTTGCACGTGTGCACACACACCCAACAACAAACAAACAAACAGAAAACCAGCTTGGTATCTGCGGAAATTACTTACTTAATATATTTTTTTAGATGCAGGTGGTATCCATGATATCATGTTTGATTTTTTTTGGAATTTGTTTGGCATCAAAAGTTATACTTGAAAGGACAATAAAACTGAAAAAACTTGGAAGTCTGCATTTCAATATGTGGGATAGAGCACCACCGTCAGGAATTCTAAATGACTGCAATATCTACAGATTGGGGGAAATTCTTGGTTTGTTTTTGGTAAATAATAAAACAAACAACAAAGTTATGCAGGGTTTTACCTTAGAAAAGATGACTGGATATAGTCATTTTCTCAGACTTCTGAATTCACATAAATTGAAATTTTAGCTGCATTTGCTCTTCAGAGGTGATAGAAATGCTAGCTGTTCCTGCTTCAGTGGCAGCCAGCAATCATGCACTTGATTAAATCTTCAAATGACCAAACCAAAAGGGATTTTGAACAGCACAGGCTTGTGGTGTTTTAGGGTTACTGAGCAATCACAGGATATTGATAGTAAGGTTGCAGACAGGACTCACCAGAATGATTAAAGGGTTAGAAAATATGCCTTTTGTGGAATAGATATTCAAGGAGCTCAGTTTTAACAAAAGGATGTAAGGGTTGACTTGATTATAATCTAAATACCTAGATAAGGAACAAATATTTAATAACGGGCTATTTAATTTGGTAGATAAAAAGTATAACAATCCAATTGGTACAAATTCAAGCTAGACAGATTCAGATGGAAAATAAGGCATACATTTTTAACAGTGTGCAATTAATCTCTGGAGCAATTTAATAAATATTGGGTGGATTCCTTATTTTTTTATGTCAATATTGAACATTTTTCTAAAAGATGTATCCAAGGAAATGTTTTGGGGAAGTGCTATGGCCTGTTATACAGGAGGGAAGACATGATGATCACAATGGTTCCTTCTGGCCTTATAACTCTTCCAGCACTTTTAACTTCAAGAGTGTATATAGGTCAAAAACATGGGCAGGGTCAGCCCCTTCATCATTGATGTGGATACTAAAATCCATAATTAGTATTGTCAAGGCTAAATCCCCATTCTGGCACGATGAATGCAGAAGTGGGGTCCCGCAAAAGTACCGCAAAACCTTATCTTTCCAGGCTTTGGTATAAAACTTCCCCACAAAATCTTAAAAACCTAGATTTTGAAGTATACAAATTCTCTGCTACCACCCAAGTAATGGTAAGAAAACCAGGGAAGAGATCACTTGGGAAATCTCAGCCCTGAAGCAAAACCAGGACACAAAAAAATTAACCAATACCAGATTAATAAAAAAGAGAATTTTTATCCTACTTCCAGATAGTGATGAGTATTCTCTTGGAAAGAGACATTTGTCTGTCCCACTCAGTATCTGGAGAGAGAACTGCCCAGGGACAAAGGAGGGAAAAACCAAAAATTCCTTTGTCCCGGTTTGAAATTCCTACCTGCATTTCTATTGGCTGCCTGCTACCTGGTTAGGTACAGTTAACTCCTGAGTCCCCAGGCTGCTGGCTAACCCTCATGGTCATGACTAGTATAATGACTGACAAATCATTAGAAAGAAAGCAAATTGTGACAAGGGTATACAACACTGCACCAATGAAAAAGGTGTAAAAGGGCAGCTTTCAGCTCAGGTAGTCCTACCTGGCCATAGCTGGGAAGCATGCCAGTCTCAGAGAAAGAGACTTCAAAAGGAGAAGGAAAGGGTAAAAGAGCCTAGATCAGGGGTTGGCAACCTTTGGCTCTTGGCTCATCAAGGTAATCCATTAGCAGGCTCTGAGATACTTTGCTGACCTTTACTATAAAAGGTGTAAAAGGGCAGCTTTCAGCTCAGGTAGTCCTACCTGGCCATAGCTGGGAAGCATGCCAGTCTCAGAGAAAGAGACTTCAAAAGGAGAAGGAAAGGGTAAAAGAGCCTAGATCAGGGGTTGGCAACCTTTGGCTCTTGGCTCATCAAGGTAATCCATTAGCAGGCTCTGAGATACTTTGCTGACCTTTACTATCTGACCTTTCCTGGCCAATGTGAACTACAGGAAGTGGCAGTCAGCATCTTCCTGAAGTCTATGTTGCTCTTTTTACTGGGGTTGTGGCAGATGGAGGATTTTTTGACCCCCAAATGAAATCATTCTGGAAACCAAAGATGAGATTCTTGTAGAGGGGGGAGAATGAATACAAAGTAGAAAAGGAAAAGTGTGGAAGCAGAACCAGTAAAAAAGTAAAGCTAAAAAAGAAAATAACCCACAATGTTATAACTGTAATCCATGGAAATAAGATCTGGTGATGTTAACCTTCTGAAAGTAGCTGACTGGATTAATTACAATACCCCTATGTTTTTGTTTTTTTAAGAGCCAAGAGGCTGCACGTTCGGGGCTTTTAGTTGAATGTAAATATGAAGAGCAAGCTGATAGAGTGCTTAAAACTACTGAAACATAAATAATTTGCAAGCTACCAAAGGATTTGACTGAATTGAAGGGGTTAATGCATGGAATGCCCTTGGAATTGATCAGTGATGAGATACCCAAAAGCATATGACAGGTTAAGTATTAGCAAGTAAGTGGCTAATTAGTAAATGAGAGAAAGCAAACCTTAAGCAGTACTGCTGACTACAGTAAAGGGAGGAACTCTACTTGAGAAAATAACAGGAATTCAAGACATTCATAACCAAGCCATATATTCTCTTTCTCTAAGACATAAAGTGCCAACACTGTGGGCACAAACATTCCAGAATGTTTATAAAGGGAAAATATTGACTTTTGTCCCATTATTACAATTGTGCTAACTGTGGTGTTAATCACAGTCTAGTAAATGGAAGATGTGTTCTGGCAAGGCAAGCTGAAGAGAAACAAATACCAAAAATACCAGGTAAGTTTTCTAGTGAAGTGTAAAATAATTGAGACAATAGTACAAAGAATAAAAAAAATCAAGGAAATACTGTTGGTGGAAAAGAAAGATCTCAACACATCA